TCATGTATATCATTCATCTCTGTCTGGAATAGTCTTGTTTCAGTAAGGGTTCTGACGTCACATCATCGCCTCGTTTTCAGAGGTGCGAAAAATCGGGGATTTCAATACTTTTTTATAGAACGTAGGGAGCTGTGAGCAAGAAACGGTTTGCGGTGGTGAGCTAGTTTGGGTGAGTTCTATCGAATTATGAAATAATTTTTTTTGTGATATAAGCCCATTGTAGGAGGTTACACATGCACAAAAGTAACTAACGTTAGAATGTAACCAATAACTGATACGAAAATACGAAACTAATGCTAATCGAACTATTTATGCTGAAAAAGGTCTACTTTTCTTGCCTTTCGATTGGCAAACAATAAAATTATTCTATTTATATAGTCCTGGCTGTCTCATTTTGTATTGACAAAATTGCCAAGGTAGAAACTATGCTTTGCGACATTTTACTTCTGAAAGTTTCATTCAATCTTGAGATTGGAAATTATCTCCCCGAACTTGCTACAGAGATATAAATTGTTAGAAAAATAATGAAAGCACAGCATATTTCTTTGAATGAGCTAGAGATAATTTTTGATTGCAAATACTTATAATAATAATAATAATAATGTTTATTCGCCAATAGGTAATATTTTACACTGGAAGTTCAAGAGAAATCGACAGAAATTGAATGTTTCTAGATTACTACTTCCACCAAAAATCTATAAAATATAAATATGAATAAACAAATGTTCCACTAAGGCAATGAAATCAACATATACATATGATGAAAGAATTAACCTTAACCTAATATACTAACTCTATGACAAAATTATTGTACTGGAAAAATTACATGCTATAGACACTGTAAAACTTCGTACGGTATTATAATAAATAACTAAAAGAAACTATATATTATTAGGATCAATGAGATTATGAATATCTATCCTTGTTGTTTCGTGGAGATATTTTTTCGTGTGATTCTTGAATGCAACTGTAGAAGTTGCTTCTTTAATTTTTTTAGGAAAGCTACTGTTGAATATTCTTATGCTCAAATAGGTAGGTAGGCTTCTTTGGCCAATAGTTTTGTTTGAATACTCAGTGCGCATCATGATATCTTTCTTTGCTCTCGTATCATAACAATGATCGATTTGCCTTAGACGGCGGTTGCTTTTGAATTGATCAATTGCTACACGTAGAAAGTATATTTGCCTTAGATCAAGAATCCTATTTCCGGAAAACAGCAAGTTTGATGGATAAGTTCGACATTCATTGAAGCATATCTTCAAGAAATTTTTTTGAGTGACATCTAGAAAATGCAAGTAACTGCTCGCTACACCTCCCCAACCCAAGATTCCATATGATAATCTTGATTCAATAAGTGCCTATAGATATAGACTCCTCTAGGTATTTGACAAATTCTTTGGAATTTAGAATGACAACATCATTGGAACAGTGTATTTCTAGCTGGTTAAAATCTGGAAGATGAGAGGAGTAGCAACCAAAAGGTAAGAACCATGTTTTCTCGAAATTTATTGTAAGTTTTTTCTGATTAAAATAGTCGATTACTTTCCTCATATCATTTTCAACTTTCTCTTTCAGGTGTTCCCAGGAATCATCTTTATAGAAAATTGCCGTGTCGTCTGCAAATAACTAATATCTCCAAGTAATCAATCTAATTGTTTGAACTGTCATTGATCTGATATTTATAAATTCGCCTGAATAACAAAATTACTTGTGACAGTGATTCCGAATAATCATCGGGATAAAACCTAATTAATTTCTGAAACAGGAGTATCGAATCAGCATCACATCATGACCGAAAAGTACTTCAAATCTTCGAACTACGCTGTTCAGCCCTTTGAATCGATTATATAGTTGTAATCGGTTGTAATATAATAACGTCCAACGTTGAATTGAACACATGACACACGAAAGTTCCCTTTGGAATTGGATAGTCGTCCGGTACACGACAACTCATTTATTTTTTCCATTCAACTTCAAGACTTCTTGATTCTTAGAACTTGGATCAATACCCCAACAACGAGCTGAATCAGCTCTTTCATTCACAACTCCTTCGACGTTTGCCCTGATGTCTAATGTCTACAATATCTTTTGAAGCACTTTCTAGAAGCATTGACACTCTCAGAATATCTTGGTATGAAGACGCATTCGTGAGCGCAACGCCGCAACCTCAACAAAGCTTCCGCCTTGCGCTCGAGCACCTCGAGAGAGTGAAGACAAGTATTCTTTGGCTGTGCACTCCGAAACGAAATGCAATGTAGTGAATAATATTATGTAAATACGGTCACAAGGGTCTCACGATGAATTTTTTTTATCGCTTTTAGCGCACGAAAGGGAATCCCTATAATCTTCAAAGAACATCGTGCGTTCCTAGGGAGGATAGGGACAGGAGGTAGGTATTGGAATTTTTTTTGAACTTTTGGAGATTATATGTTGTTGGGAATACTTCCACAGGCAATGAATTCCAGAGCCTAGCCGTTCTATGGATGAAGGAGTCTTGATAAAGTGCTGTTCGACATCTTTCGAGGTTGACAACGAAAGGATGTGCTGACTGGGCTTGTCTAGTTCGTCTGATTGGTATTGCTAGTGAAGGGATGATAGCAGAGATTTCCGAAGAACATTTCCCGTGGAAGTATCGATAGAAAAGTGAAAGGTCGCCGACCTTTCTACGATGTTCCAATGATGTCAAAGAGTGAGTGAGTGTGGCGTCACCCACCAGGCGAATGGCTCTTCTCTGGATGGAATCTAAGAGCATCAGCGTATGTTTTGGTGCTGATCCCCATATGTGGGAACAGTATTCTAGAGCAGGCCGTATCTGCGCTTTGTAGATCATGAGAAGCTGTTGAGGTGTAAAGTATTTTTTCGCACGGAACAAGAATCCGAGTTTTTGTGAAGCAGCTTTTGCGATGGATCTGACATGATTATCCCATGTTGCAGAGTGTTGCTGATGGAAATACCGAGCATAGATATGGTGGGCTTGGTGGGGATGGTGGAGTCAGACATTACAATATCGGGCATACTGAGTTCCACCTTTCTAGAGAAAATGCAGGCTTGAGTTTTGGTGGCGTTGAATTCAACTAGGTTGTTTGTTCCCCAGGGTGTGATTTCAGCAAAATCTTCATTGACAGCATTGACCAGCCTGCGCCGTGAGTTCTTAGTTCCCTGGGAAGAAATGGGAATTCTGGAAGAGAACGCAGTATGGAGGGTACTATTATCTGCAAAGCTGTGGATGGGGCAAGTTGTTACTTCCAACAGATCATTGATATGAAGCATATGTTGGTGCCAAAATTGATCCTTGTGGAACGCCGGAATTGATGCAAATGGTATCAGACGATACACCGTCCACCACCACGTGAAGCGATCTGCCCGAAAGAAAACTCGATAAGAGATGGCATAGCTGAGGTGGTAAGCCGTATGATGGTAGTTTGTGGAGGAGTCCTTCGTGCCAAACACGGTCGAATGCTTTCGATATACGCGACAGCTAGATATTCCCCGTGTTTTTCTATTGAAGATTGCCATAAATGGGTGACGTAGGCAAGTAGATCTCCAGTAGATCTTCGGTGGCGAAAGCCGTATTGTCTATCATTGATGATTCCTGAGCTCTCCAGATATTTGATAAGCTCAATATTGATGGCTTTCTCCATCACTTTGGAGATTACTGATAACAGGGCAATGGGTTGTTGTTGGGCAGTTTCTTGTTCCCTTTTTTGGGGATTGGTTGGACTCTAGCTGTCTTCCAGCACGATGGAGAAATACCCGACCTGTACGAGATGGTAAACAACTTGCAGAGAATCGGTGTTAATTCTGGTGCACATTTTTTGAGAATAATGGGTGGAATTCCATCAGGACCGTTAGCCTTATTCGTGAGACCAAGCAAAATTCGTCTGATAGTGCGTTGACGGAAGACGATTTCGGGCATTCGACTCTCAACGGGTGGAATGTCTGGCGGCAGTTTTCCTTGGGAATCTAAAGTAGAGTTTGCTGCGAACATCTCTGCAAAAATATTGGCTTTCTCCTGCGATGTTGTTGCTAATGTGCCGTCGAATTTGGACAGTGGTGGAAATGAACTATTAGTGAAATTTCTTCCGACCGCTTCAGCAAGGGACCAAAACGAACGGGAGCCATTGGGGCAATCTATGAGTTTCGATCTTATCTTGGCATTGTTGTATGTTTCTTTCGAAGCATCTATTGTTTGAGAACATAACTTCATGGTTCTTTTAGATTAGCAGATATTAGGAAAAGTAAAGCAATAACATCATTGCTCAATAAAATTGAGATTGAAAATAATCGAGAGACCAAACGGTTCTTTTAGTGGTCAATCTAATAAACAATGAGAAGTTGAAGAAAATCTGATGAATGTTATTTTTTTGAGCATAAAACTTCAACACTCTGTATCGAGAGAATGAACCATTTTACTTCTTCCTCTTCCACAATATGGCCTTTTGTCTTACAACATACAGCCAATCCTTATTACGGAAAATCCGTCTCCATCCAGCCTGGTTACCAGCGTAAAAATAAGGGGTTTTGTTTTTTGACCATCCTGGACGACTCATTCGAAGTGACACCAAGTATTCACAATTACAAACATAAACCTGACTTCCGACCAGATGACGGCGCCTGTCTTATTCTACCACGATCGGAAGGTGAATCTCCATTTTTGGCGATTTTTGGTGTCTTGTGGTGCTTTTATACGACGCTATACCTATATAGTGGAGTATACTACGGCCTTACCAAAAATGCTATCTCGGACACTAAGCGAGATAGAGGTATAGTTACTTTGGAGAAAATGATCCCCATCGAATTTTGAGCAACTTTGGTTTTTGTGTGTGGTCTGTCTGTCTGTCTGTACTCTGTGGTAATCATAAATCGATATATCTCCGGAACCCTTCGACATATCGACTTGAAATTTCGCCATCTCATTGTACTCAAAACAATATCATAAGAACCATATAAGAACCTACCTACCTTTATTAACCTAATCAAATAATTCTCTATTTGCCTACCTTTCTGAATTCATGCTCGAATTTTAACTTGACAAATAATGGGTCCTCGTCTTCTAAGGAGCATTCAGCTAACATTTCACTTTGTTTAAATCTCAAACTCAGACGTAATCGTGATTGTCAACAAACTAAGCACCTATTTCACAACATAAACTTGGCATTTTTTCACTTCAAATATCGAAAATGTAGAGAAGAACCCGAGGAAGTACCAATCGAACAACTATGTTAAGTTCTCCAAATGAAACCGAAACATTCTGTCTGGAAATCATAGGAGACGAAGAAATTTTCACTTTTAGTAGGTATCATTCAATATTTGAGATTTTAGTTTCATCAGTACCTACGTCCAGAAATGTATGAGGTACGTCTGGTGATAGCATCGTTAGAATAATTATCATCTAACGATAAATAAATTACTGATAACACTCCGTTATCAATGACGTTAGGTAATACCTATAGAAACCTAATAGGTTTGAATCAATTTCAAGAATTTTATATGATGCAGTTGACTTGCATAATAAGATAAGGTAAGTAGGTACTTCTATATTGAACGTAAAGTGTATAAATGTGCTCGTGGACTGATTTTTGTCAATTCTTCATTCTTGATCATCACATACTAATTACTAATGCTTTCAATTTCATTATGAAAAAAAATCCGGATGGTTTTTAGGTCTCAATATCACAATACAGTCTGTCCAAGATTAGGTTGAACAGCATGGGGATCTCGAAAACGGTAAGAGATACGAAATCGGTTAAATGGGGAAAAAGTTGCGCATTCGGAGGCTCATATCAAAAGCCTTCGAGAATTTTGAAAATTATTTTTAGTTTTTGAGTTATATCGAAAAAAGTGAATTTTTTGAATTTCTATTTTATTTTTTTTCTCCGTTATTATTAGAGATACAGCAAAACTGAGAATACTTTTTCATAGCAACTTTCGATGACGGTCAACGTGGTGATACCGATTTTTTCATGCGACGTTTCGTATTCGTGGAACCATCATCAACTTTTGTTTTTTAAATACGGTCCTGATGATTTTTTCACAGATTCTAAAAGGTTTTTTATTCTGAATTCAACCATGTATTATACAAGGTGGTTCATTTGTGTTTCGACCTATTTCCATCCATCATCAATGTTTTTTCGAAATTCCAAAGGAAAAATGCCATCAGTTCCACTTATTTTGAAGGAAAATTAGTCAACACACTAATACCTCATCAACTGGTTACAACAACCCATTTCATTTTGCGGAAACAAAAATTCCATCCATACAAATTCAGAATATGTCAAGCGCTAAAACCAGGAGATGACGAAAGGCGCAAGACATCCTGTGAGTGGTATACCAGGAAATGTTAAAATTTTGCAGATTTCTTTCGAACAATCATCTGGACTCATGAAAGCATGGTCACTAATCATGGTAGCTTCGATAGAAAAAATACACATTATTGTTCACGAGAAAATGAACATTTATACATTACAGCGAGACACCAACACCGTTTCGGCTTTAATATGTGGGTTGCAATATTTGGTACACGAATTATTGTTCCTTCCATTTACCATGAAACACAGACTTCCGAACGTTATAGAAATTCGCTTGAGAATCATCTTGAGGAAGCTCTGGATGATTTACCGATTGCGGAAGTTCAGAACTTGGTTTCAACAAGATGGCGCTCCGGTACATAATTCCAGAGAAGTCCGTGCGTTTTTATCCCTTGGCCGGCGCGGTCGCCTGATTTAACACAGCTGGATTTTTTCTTAGGGGATATATCGAACTTTGTACACGCAAATAACTTTGAGGATGAAGAAGAACTAAGGGACAGTGTCTTCGAAGCATTCAATAGAATAACCCCAGAAATGCTTAGCAATGTCTTAGAAACAACTGTGAGGAGAGGATATCTTTGTTCAGAAAATAATGGTTATCATTTTGAACATTTGTTATGAATGTCTCTGTAGGTATTGTCAAAGTTAAGTTGTTAAAGTAATTCGTGTAAGAATTCATCAACAATTTTAAACGCTGCATTGATCGAATGATGTAGTGAAATATTTTTTATTCACTTTTCAGTATTGAATAACTAATCCATCAAGTTTGACACTAAATGATAAGAAATAAGTGGAACTGATGGCTTTTTTTCTTATGGAAGTTCGAAAAAACATTGATGATGGATAGAAATAGGTCGAAACACATTCGAATCACCTTGTATAGTACATTGTTGAATTCAGAATAAAAAAACCTTTCAGAATCTGTGAAAAAATTATCAGGACCGTATTTAAAAAACAAAAGTTGATGATGGTTCCACGAATACGAAACGTCGCATAAAAAAATTGGTATCACCACGTTGAACCTCATCAAAAGTTGCAATGAAAAAGTATTTACAGTTTTTCTGTATCTCTGATAATAACAGAGAAAAAAAATAAAATAGAAATTCCAAAAATTCACTTTTTTCGATATAACTCAAAAACAAAAATAATTTTCAAAATTTTCGAAGGCTCTTGATATGAGCCTCCGAATGCGCAACTTTTTCCCCATTTAAGCGACTTCGTATCTCCTACCGTTTCCGAGATCCCCATGCTGTTCAACCTTATCTTGGAAAGACTGTATATATTATATTAACCGAGATATTAACGTAACTAGTTAGGAAACGGGTCATTTTGTGTAACGATGGATTCTTGCGAGATACAAGGTAATCAGAATTCAGAATCTTCATAGTTCCATTCGAATGTCAGTTAATCAAAAGTTTTTTTTCTGTCTACTATACTGAGAAAGAATTAATATTATTATCAGGTAGATAATGCGAATTCAAAATGTATTTCTTCATCTGTATCCAGTTCAGCTCATCCTTTCGTTGTCAACCTTGATATATGTCGACAACTCTTTACCAAAACTCGTTTGTCTATACAACAGCGAAGCTTTTGAAATTCATACCCACCTCCTCTCCCAATCTACCGGTACGCACAATGTTTTCCGAATGATTTACTTATTAAGTTCAGTTAGGGATATGATTTGGATCATATTTAACACAAATCATATTTTATCTCGAGATTCGATAGAGATAGGTAAAGGGATTTATCAAAAAAAGAGTATTGGAATGAAAAGACGATTCTAAAAATTTATTAATATACGGAGTGTTCCATTTAAAAAAAATGAGGTTGCTAGGACTTTTTGATAGAAACGGCAACGTCGCAATTTCGAAAATATGGAACAGGTGATGAATTGTGAGATGCGAAATTTTCAGAGAACTCCTGCGTTGCGTTCTCCATAAATGTCTAACCTCGCGTCTAACCTACCATCGACCGTGAGTTACCCTGTATACTAGTATAGGTACTTTTCAGAAGGGAAAAGTGTTTGGTACGAAAATGTGAAAGAACGAAAATAATGATACTGAACAGTGTTTCTGAACAGTTCCCAACAAATAAGGGCGATATGTTTTGGATCATATTAAACACAAATTATTTTTTATCTCGAAAATCAATAGAGATAGGTATAGGAATTTATCAACAAAAGAGTATTGGAATGAAAAGACGATTCTTAAAATTTATTAATATACGGAGTGTTCCATTTAAAAAAATGAGGTTGCTAGGACTTTTTGATAGAAACGGCAACGTCGCAATTTAGAAAATATTTGAGATCGATAGAACAGGTGATGGAATATGAGATGCGGAATTTTCAGAGAACTCCTGCGTTGCGTTCTCTATAAACGTCTAACCTACCATCGACCGTGAGTTACCCTGTATAGTATTGGTACTTTTCAGAAGGGAAAAGTGTTTGGTACGAAAATGTGAAAGAACGAAAGTAATGATACTGAACAGTGTTTCTGAACAGTTCCCAACAAATCAGGGATTTGTTTTGTGTTGAACAAAATATCATTTAGTAAACCTTCGGTATACGATACGCAGTTTTGTTTAACAAAGTTATTGATATAAACGTCATTCACTTTTGTATGAAACGTCTGTATTTTATGATAGATATAGCGTTAGTATTTCATTGTGAAGTCCTTTTTAGTAAAGTTCCTGATACACGCAGTTTATCTATTCCACAATACCTTCCCAGCAACTCCATTTTCCCTAACATTTTGGATCATATTTAACACAAATTATTTTCTATCTCGAAAATCGTTAGAGATAGGTGTAGGGATTTATCAACAAAAGAGTATTGGAATCGATTGGAATGAAAAGACGATTTTAAAAATTTATTAATATACGGAGTGTTCCGCTTAAAAAAAAAGAAGTTGCTAGGACTTTTTGATAGAAATGGCAACGTCGCAATTTTGAAAATATTTTAGATCGATAGAACAGATGATAAAATATAAGATGCGGAATGTTCAGAGAAATCCTGCGTTGCGTTCTCCATAAACGTATAACCTACCATCGACCGTGAGTTACCCTGTATACATAAGAATAGGTACTTTTCAGAAGGGAAAAGTTTTTGGTACGAGAATGTGAAGGAATGAAAATAATGACTCAGAAGAAGGTTCGTTTCGAATTTATCAATGCTCATGAATATCCATCTGGAGCCCAGGAAAAAAGTAGGGTAAGTGTAAATTTGGGGCAAGTGCGGAACCCAGGCTGATTATCATTAAATTTTTTTCTGTGAGGTGGCTCCTAGGATGACTCTGTCTATCACATAATGAACCTACCCATATTCCCTGAATGCTCAGTGATATATCTACCTTGCCGATATTTCGAATAGTGTCCATTTACGTCGAGATATACGTCGCATACCGAGCTAGCATGTGTTCGTTGTTAGTGTACGTGAGCTTCAAAAATTTGTGAATATATTCAAAGATTCTGAATTGAATAGCTCAAAAGAATACTTCTTCGTATTCTGCAGGTATGACTATAAGGATGTATATTTGTTCACATGGAGGCAGTAGCGCATCTAGGATTTAGTTCTGGAGGGGGTAAATATGTTGTAGTATCATTTTTTCAATACAGAAATTTCGTAGATACTGAAAATGATACCAAGAACTGAAAGTTGAGACAGATGTGTGAAATTGAAATAGAAACAACTTTTTTTCGTAAACTTTTCGAACAAAATTTGAAAGGTGAGCCTATTTTCAGCGATTAATTTGGAAGAGTGTTACTTTATTTGATATTTATCGAGTCACGCGTGCACCGGCCGAGTAGGTCATTTTCTATCTCTTTTTGAAGCAAAACTGAATGGTCAAGTCGAATTTCAAAATTTATTATTATTGAAAGTTTATCCCGTATAATTTCTGAAAGACAGTACCTATAATGAGAATGAGTAGGTAATGAAGTATGAGATATCCTATTTTGTCCATCTTCTAATTCATACATTCGACAGATGGACATAACTGACAGAACTTGACAATTGAACAATGTGATCGAAGATAATCTCAATATTTGGTTCT